AGGAGGACAGAAAGGACGTTCTGTCTTTCAAAAGGTGGGCAGAAACACGAGTCTTCTCTTTTTTTGCAATTTCATTCTTGTGACACACGCTGTGCCCGATAACTGTGAGATTTACTGCGATGCAAGACCAGCTGAAAGGCATTATATTCACTATATTTTCAACATGCATTCACAAAAGCCATTTTAAAAAATGAGAGTAAACCTGCAAGCGAAGAGTTTGTATTTTACTACTTTGTCAAATACATATAAAGACAAGCTTGTCCTTTCATCATCAACAGTTTCCAGGTTGTTGTTTGACTTTAAAATATCTTTTATAGTTTATAACACAGTCATCGCTGCCGATGGGAGTATACGCTGATGTGGAGTTCTAATCAAAACCCAGATTATCTGTAGCTACAGAGACTTTCTCATGAGAACATCTTCTTATCACACTTACACAGAGATGCTATTGTACATCTTGGGAAGTCGTGCTTCGGAATAGTTTCTTACAGGCTCTAATCTCCTAAGAATAATAATACATGCAGCAGATGTTAGTGCAGTGTGTTACAGATGGGGGGCATAATCTATTTCTCCCTGCCAGAGTCCTGTGAAACCATGGACATCGTGTCACAGATTTATAACACATGTACGCTGCTGGCTCTACAGTTTAGAAAAACATGGCCCCTAAAAGAGATGCTGAGCAGCATCACTGAACTGGATCACTTTCTGACAGTTATTGTTAAAAATCACTTTGCATGATGAGAGTTCATATTAATATTGTCGCACATTTCAAGACATCCAGTTTGACGTGGTTTATAAAAGGCTTTATGAAGGATGTATATAAACAGAAGCAGTCAAGTTACAAATTAGACTATTCATCAAGGAAAATAATCAACCTGAAGGTCAGAAATTTCAGGTGGGGGGTGGGGGGGAGGCCTTTGATTTTGATTTGGATGATTATGAGACAACATAATCTAGTTCGGCTTAACAGAAGTACTCAGGGTTCAGCTGGTCTCAAAGCAGATGAATGAGCTGTGTCAGTTTCGGCTTGTGACTCATTAAACTGTAGACTAATCTTCTTGCAACCTTTTCCCAAAGGATTCCTGTTTGCCTGTCAGCTATAAACAGTTCGAGCCGAGTTACCATTGCTTCTTATGATGTTTGATTAATATTTAAATTAATGGAAGAGAGATAAAAATGAGAGAAATCTCAAAGAAATGCTTTTAAGTAGAAGACCTTTTCGTTTTTATGAGCTGCTACAATTATCTTCTGACTCCTGTGATTCATCGAGCCACCCAATAAAGGGCTTCAGACATTTATGTTCTTAGTCACATCTAAGAGACACTCTTTCATTATGAAAATGACACATCAATTGTGGAAAAAAATTGCTGCTTTGTCAAGATTTGTGCACATTTGGTAAATGGGAATCATGTGATTAACAGGTGACTTGTATTTAACTTGGCGTAAGCCATTTGCTTTACAATACATTCAGCAGTGACACATTTCACAGTATTAAAAGCTCGGTTCAGTCCTTCAGGTTTGAAAATCTTGGTGTTTTTATTTTAAGTATTGCATCATCAACTTACACAGCTAGAATCGTCATCAGAGTGCATGTTTTACAAAGGATGGCCACAGGTTCAGAACAACAGGAGGGCTCCCTACTGCACTTGGGACTGCTTGTTTGGTTGGGCTAACTTGACTTCGTGGACCCGTTTGCTCAAATCAACCCCCTGAGAGAGACTGACACCAGAGTGGAGTGGGGTTTTACAAAGGACACTGCAACTTCCACTTCACGGGGCTGGTGCACTTCTGGCCAAGCTGTCCCCTAACCACCACTGAAACCTTAAACACAGGTAAAAATACAACTTTGTGATGAGGATATGCTAATGAATTTTGCAGCATGGCCAGAAATGTTTTGTCAGACCTCTCAATCAGCTGATCCAGGACTATTCTGCACTGGACTGAACAGCTTTTGTTTTTGCATCTTACGCTGGAGAGCTTGTCTTTTTTTTTAAATGACAAACAGCCTTCAGAAGTGTGATATTTACTGAGTATCAAAGTGGCAAACAGCCCACTGACATCTGTGCAGACTAGTCATGGACTAGGTGCCTTTCTAAAGCTCAGCTTTAGTAAGAACACAGAGATCACACACATACATACACCCATGCACACACACATAGTAGACTCACATGAGTGAGGACAGACCTGGCCTCAGTAAAACCAGTTCTTTTAGTGTTGTTTTTGTTTTTAACCCGTCCTGGAATCATCTCGCATCTCAGCATTTTACAACGTGGGACAAAATGACACACATTTTGTGATAAACACTCAGTTTGTCCCATCATAGTAAAACACAACATTGTGTACTGTGTGAGCAGGTTAAAACACTGCAAAGAACTGATCGAGGTCTGAACAAGAAGAGAAATTCATTTGTCGCAAAACACTGAGACCTTTGTCGTGTCAGCAGTGCAGTTTCATAAAACCAACATAAGAAGAAAGCAGAAACAAAGATCAGATAAAGGTAATAACTTAAAACGGGGCAGAATAAATGTAAACTGTCCTCCACAGAGAGAGAGAAAGAGATAAAGAGAGAGGACACTGAGGTGTTCTGAGGTGGTTTTGGCTTTTTTTTTTTTTTTTTTTTTAAATATCTGAGCACCAAAAGTGGTGACTTTCTGATTTAGTGCCAAGTCCAACAACCTCAACAGAGCTCCGCAAAGAGCGTACATGTCGAACTCTACACCGTAACGATGTCCATCAGAGAAACCTAAGGTTTTGTTCTTTTGTGTTTTTATTTCTTTAAATCCTCAGTCAGAGGAGTTGTAAATGTAAGACACATTTTGTCAACTAAAACAAGTCTAATAGAGACTACAATCCTCCTAATAGAGGAAAGCGGAGTTTTAGACCCCTTTTATTTCATAGCAGCCGGCTCAATATTTGCCAGTAAAGTCTTGGCTATGGGTGAGTCTTGTGCAGAATTAGCTCCCCTCAGCACAGACCCGGAAACAAAGTCGAGAGCATTTCACCTTGCGACAGCAGAATGGGTATAAAGGTTCAGCCTGTGCTGCTGTTTCAGGTCTGCGATGCTCCTCACAGGCCTGGTGTGTGGCTGGGGAGTCAGCCCCGAACAAGGCTGGTGACTCTAAACAGGCGAGGCTCAGCACTAGGAGCAGCTTAGGGCCAATTACATTTCAAGTGTCCATTGAATAAAACAGCAAAAAAATGAAAACAAAAAAATGGCTACATTTTCTTAACCCCTCTCCCACCCACCCGGCAAAAAATAGAAAGAAAAAAAAACCTTAACAATAATCCATAAAATATACATTTTTTTAAAATAAGGAGTGAGGAATAAACATCAAAGAGAAGAGTAAAATAAGACAGAAACAAAATAAGTTAACCTTCTCTCCATTGCGTGTTCTTTGAGGGATTGCAGAATAAATATTCATCATATTCTTAGTTTTTTTCTCTCTCACACAAAATAATGGTTGGCAGCGCAACACGACAGTGGTAAAGAAAAACAAAGCGAACTGCAGCCGAAGTGCAATTCTTAATGCCGGTGGAGTAGGGATGGAGTACATTGACATCATACAACCCGTTTTCTTTTTCCAACACTTCAAACTTTCCCTCCACAGATCACCTGACCACCATTGGAATGCCATATATTTTTTTTTTCTTTTTACTTAAACCGCCATTCACAAACAAGAGAATAAAAACTGTCTAATTGATTAAAAAAACAAACAAAAACAAAAAGAAAACAGTGAGAAACAAAGTCTGCATTTTCCAACAAATGCCATTTTAGATCACTGTTTACAACTGGATGGAAAGTCGTTCTACTGTTTCTATCGAGGATATCGTTCCTTTTACCTCCTCGGGGCGGGGAGCGGGGACAGAGAGGGTAGCGTTTGAACGTTTCCATCAGCAAATTTTATCGGAGGATAAAAATTGTTCTAAACTTTCAATTTAAAAATGCACAATAAACACAGGTCAAACAGCAACAGAGGCAATAGTTCTATCTGTAAGCACTACTTTTTTTGAACTCATTTTTAAAGTTTTATTTATTAAGCTATCTGTATGTACAAAAAAAAAAAAAATGTGGACGGTCACATGAGTCTTGAGGGAGAAAAAAAACAAACAAAAAACGGGAAGGAGTTGAAACTGACGAAACAAAAACTACACGAGTTATTGCTTGTTACTGCTGGAGAGAAGTTGGACATCTGTTCCAAAGCTTGTAGTTTGGATTTTTTTCCCTTGTTGCTGTTGTTTTTGTGTGTGTGTGTTTCTTCCTTCTTGGTTTGTGCCATTTCTATGGACAGCTCTAAAGTAGATAAGTGCAGGATAGCTTGTAGTAGCTGCTTGTCGAGGGGAAAGAAACCAAAACAAAACACACACACACACACACACACACACACACACACACACACACACACA